TTCCAATCGAAGTCGAACATCAAGAACATATCTATGTAAGATCAAGACGTAAGTAATATCTATGCATATGAAAAGAATGTATGATGGGCGACAAGTATATTTTCAATCGATGTCGGACATCAAGTAGACATATCTATGTAAGATCAAGACGTAAGTAATGTAAAGATATGCATATGAAAAAGAATGTATGACTGGGCGACAAGTATATTTCCAATCGAAGAACATCGGACATATCAAGTAGACATATATATCTATGATCAAGACGTAATTAATGTAAGAGGACATATGCATATCTATAAAAAAGAATAAGTATGCATATGAAAAGACAAGACAAGTATATTTCCACTCGAAGTCGAACATCAAGTAGACATACTATATCTATGTATGCATAAGATCAAGACGTAAGTAATGTCAAGAGGTATGCATATGAAAAGAATTTTATGAATGACATATCTATGTTCCAATAATGAAAGTGCATATGAAAAGGTGTATACGGGTGACGAAATTTTATTGCCAACTCGGCCATAATTAATAAAGCTGGAATTGTGAACACTAAAAAACAAGTAATATATTAATACTTTCATTTATGCGTTTTTATAGCACAGTCGCCAGCCAGCTAACCCGTTTTTGAAAAAAATAAGAAAGGCTTGTTAATCCTTATCATTTTGATCCTCTTCACATGCTATTTTTACTTCTAAGTTTTTACTTCATCGCGCCGAATACAAGGCATAAGAGCAACTCATTGTAGAGTTTAACTGGAGGTGATTATTGTAAGAGAAAAGGAAGGTGATGGTAAAAAGTGCACTTTATAAGAATATAGATATAGACATTGATGAGGTTAAGATTTCAGTGGAAACATCCTCCCGAGTATCTGTTCCACAAAGTTACAGATCTTAGGAAGGAGCTAAGTGGCTCCTTAGGAAATTCGAAGTGAATGGGGATGATTTGCCTTTGTGAACCTGTCATGGCGGGTTCTAGTGGTAAAGATCAAGGCCGTGGGACTAATGAATGTGTCATAGTCATAGCGATAGAGTAGTGAAAGGTTTACAACGGAGAGATGTGAATCTGGAATATTTTACTAATAAGCAACAATAACAAGACTTAATTTCAAAAGTTAAAACTTAAGACTGTTGCTCCTACTATAACTGAACGTGTACGTATTGTAGCAATTATCGACGCAGAAATTAGGTAAGTCAAAATGAGAGTTCTGTATTTCGCTGTTTATATGACGCCCCGATGTATTAGGCGCCTTCCCTATAATTTTGGTGGAATAAATCGGACAAAAAGTTTTTTTCTTCCTTGTACTTCATAGCCCTCCCCACTATCCCCAGTTTTGCCCACTGAATAGTATATTTCAGCATGAAAACATGACGAATTATGACAAATTCGTCACAGACTGAGAAGAAGCAACAAATAGCTATGTAGAAGTTAATAATTAAAAGAGAAGTTAAAGTTCATAATACCAGTGAAACCTAACTTTGTTGCAGCCTGGAATCCTCTCTAATCGTGACGAATTCATCACTAACCTGGATGGAGCATTAATTTTAAATTAGATACAGAGTTCAGAATCGGATATAAATGGAGAGCTGACGCTCAGCCACACCCCGAACCTATAACACCCGTCACAGACCTTCGGTTTATTGGACGCTGGGTGATTTGGTGGAATATTTTACAGAACAAAAATGCGTTACACGACGTATTCTTTCTATAAAATATATCAGAAATAGCAGCAAAATACTCTCTAATCAAAAGTAATAATTATCAAAAAAATAAAATAAAATAAAAATAAATATATTGTTGAAAATTTACTAAATCACCGTTCTTTTATGGATGAAAAATTTGGAACATTACAATAAGTTTAGAATGTAGTCTTTTTTTACTAGATGTGATCAAATTAACTGTCGAATGTCTTGATCTAGCTTGTGATCTGGTCAGTTAATTCAAAGTTTACATCATTGAATTAACGGATCTTTTTTAAGGAAACATCATGTTATGTATGTAAAAAAATATTCATATGAAAAAGAATGTATGAACGGGCGACAAATATATTTTCAGTGGAAGTTCGGTGACGAGATTTTATTGCCAATTTGACCTCTCCATAACTGACAAAACTCGGATTGTCAATAATAGAAAAGAAGGAATATATTAATTATTTTATTTATGCGTTTTATGTTGTCTGGCTGTACTGGCTCGTTTTTGGAAAAATATGAAAGGGTTGTTTATCCTCATCACTTTTATCCACCTCACATGCTGCGGACTCCCATGAATCGACACAAGAATGCTCATCGCTTTATCAAATAATTCCTCTTCTGAATCGTAATTAGCAAAGGTGTCGTCTATTTGCTGAGCATTTAGACGTTGACGGTTACGATCGAATACACTGTAGTACAAACTAAACTACACTCCAATATACAATACGGGTTTAGAATCTTTTATCCGAAGTTTTTGGGACCGGAAGTCCATCGGTTTCTACATTCTTTCGGATGTCGGAATATAGGCTATTTAATTTGTATTTAGCATCTATAAAATGGGACAGCTTCGGAATGGAACCCAAGCAAAAACACGATATCCCTTTACATTTCATAACACATCTTATACATACATCCTGAAGTTAATTTTATATAAAATTTAAAAATTCTGTGTACATGGATACAGTTAATGACGCTAGTCATTTAATACTTACACGGATTTTTAAGTGGTGAAATTGAGATTCTACGTAAAAATAACGTTTTGTACTTTCTGTACGTGTACAAAAAACATGGCCACTACTTACAAAAAATATATAAATGCTGAAATTTCGGACATTTTAAATATCTTTTCTAACACGAAACACGAACGAAGGTGTTACTTTCATGACCACTAACAAAAAGCTGGCGCCAAAGTAACTGGGCTGGGGAACCCCCACCCGGGGCAGATGAGGTCACTTAGAACAGGTTCACAACATCTAAGAACCTTCCCAGTTTTTTCTGAAATTTTCCATTTGTGCCAAGTCATGTCAGCACCTGAAAAACTTTCGGATTTTGGAGGTTTTCGGATTTGGAAATTTCGAATAAAGGATACTCACTCTGTATATGAAAAATACGTCAAAAACAGTTTTAAATTTCTGCTACGATATGTCTATGCTGGTTTGTAAATAGTGCTAAGAGCTACTTAAACAAACACAATGGACAGTGTGTGTGTGTGTGTGTGTGTGTGTGTGTGTGTGTGTGTGTGAACAGCAGGAAATTTAAGTGTCGTGGAGGCATAAGTACATCAACAAGAGTCAGTTAGTTAAGTACCATACGTGATACACGTTTGGGCGGTCATGATTCTTTCGATGCATGACTGACGATTCAGAAGTTTTCTCGCAATAGGTTGGCTTTTTTTGCGGTAGACTGATTGCCAACCAAGGTTATAGCACCGTCCTGCTATTTAACCCATACATAGCAGAAGAGATAGATTCATACATTTCCCAAGGGTATTTGCACGTAAGTGAATGTAACAAACCCAATTGGAATTCGAACTCGGCTCTCCGATTTCTCACTCAGAGCCGGAGTGGAAGTTAATATAGGGTGAGTATGCTGCTGAATAAAAGTAAATACAATCAGTATTTTAAGACGAAAGCTGCCCTTATATATTGAAATATTAAAATTACTGATACAGCTTTTGATTTCAAATCCTATTTCCAGGTATCAGCAAGCAAACTAAACTCCTTCATGCAATCAGCCAAGATTTGCTCGATTATTGAGAAAACACGGCCAAATTTAATGATGCTACTGGCTGATAGTAAAAGATATTGTAAAAAATGCAATGTTATTCAGAAAAAGAACAATGAAAAGTAGGAAGGCGGCGGAGAAACTTTGAAGTTAGACGCAGTAGACAAGAAGCAACACATGAGGGTAGAATTTCTGGTCAGGTGGTGTTATAGTGGAACACACCTATTCTATAGTTAATAGGCTCTCCCACCTATAATAAGTAGGAGTAGTAAGAGTAACGAGGAGTCGCTCAGTGGATCGGTCTGAGTTCAGTCTGAAGTCGGACGACCGGCAGACCGGTTGAACTCTCTGCCTTCGGTCGGGGAGAAACCCGAACGAGGCTACGCCGAAGGGCGGAGTCTCTTTCGGGGAGGTAAACCGACCCTGAAACCGTTTATACGGGTTAAAAGGGCATATTTTTGGCCGAGCCCACGTGCTCGGAGATCCCACGTTAAACCGGCCTTGTGCCACATGATGCCCTTGTGGGAGGGGGGTAACTTAATACCACTCAGTGGGTCGGTCAGTCAGTCGATGCCGGACGACCGTTAGTCGGATACTAAAGTATCAACGACCACAACTAGATTACTCTGCGTCATACCTATTATATGAAGTTCCTAACGTTTTGTACATCGAACCTTTTTTAGAACCGACTTAATACAAGCCTCCATTGTGAAAACACTCCATAACAGGTGGTCAATGTTTTAGATGAGACGTGGAGTTAACCTGGACAAAAACAGCAGCCAATAACTCTACTGTATGTTACTATATGTCTGCATATATTTGGAAATTAGTTTATAACACAAACGTTACGGTTTGACAGTTACGGTGTCTTGTCGACGAATATATATGTAGGCATGTTATCTACCAACCGCCCCATGCGGTCACATGTGGCACAAGGTCGAATTTAATGTGGGATATCCGAGCACGCAGGCTCAGCTAAAGATTCCCCGTAGACCCCGTATAAAACGGGGTCGTGTAGCTGTTTCGAAGATATAAGAAATGACTTTATATCTTATATATATATCTTCCACCTTCTCATAAAAAAAAATCAATTCCTACTTCCGATTTTGCATTTCCATCACACATGTCAATCTACCTTGAGTGGATCTTGGGATTTGTATTGAAAGTGAAAAAAAAAAAAACTTCAGGCAGATTTCGAACTCAGATCTTCGACACTGCCTAGTTAACCGTTACGCCACCTCGCACTTGCTGCCTACCTACATTACATGAAGACAACATGGAAGAAGATTAAACATACCAACTGACCTTTGTAGCCTTCGATTTGCCAAGAAAATTCCACCAAGCTTTGATTTCCGGCATGAATTTGTCCATTCTGTTGATAGAACTGCCTTCCCTGGGTTGTATCAGGGGACTTTGCATCATAAGGGACAAAATTTCGTCGTAGTCGCTGCTGGAAGATCTGGACAATAGCCTATGACAACCGGCGATTGATATCTGTGGAAATGATATAAGAGAAAAACAAAAACATGGTTATTTAAAGAAATCATTGACAGACTCACGCTGACTATTATCAATGGCAGTTGTTTGCATTTTTTTGGGGGGGGTGCTATGTCGATTTCTTCAGTTTTAATTATCGCTTATCGTCCATATCACTGTTGGTGCCTTTATTTTTTATTATTTTTAATTTGTTTGTTCTTAAATTTAACATCATTTTATTATTTTTCAGCAGTTTGATTTTTACGCTTAATGCTTTTAAGATTTGAGGTCGTCTTTTACAGTTTATGTGATATACCACCCTTCTAGCATTGGCGGCTTACGGACACATGTTAAAAAAACTGGTTCCCGTACGAACACCGAAGTTAAGCAAGGTCGAGACTAGTCAGTACGTAGATGGGGGAAAAGGTACTGTAAGCTTGGGTGTGCGGGTGGTGTAATGGATAATGGCTCGGAATTGTTAAGATGAGTTCGAATTCCAGTTAGGTTCTTTATATTTACTTACTTGCAAAATATATGAATCCACCTCTTGTCCCCCAGCTATAGGTTAATTATCAAGACTTGTACTGCTAGAACCATTATAATTTTCAAAAAATAAATAAATAAATAAAATAAAATTGCGTACAAAATATTTAGATTTCGGCTTTCAGTAACATATAGAGGTTGATATGCCGCTAAAAAGAACAACCATCTACCATTGGTCATGATTTGTGCTTCTTTGAGTTCTTGTGTTTTTCTGTTGTGTGCGATAGAAGAAACTGTTAGCATAGAACTTACGGTTGCATCTAGCCATTTCAAGAGCAAAGGATGAGACCTTGCCGCCAATCTAGTACTGCACTTAAATTCATAAAGTCTAGGGAAAAGTTCATCAGAACAATTACCATGAAAGTATATACAGAAAAGGCACAGAGAAGCTACGTTACGGTGGTGATAAGGTGACCGAAGCTGAGATGCCAGGTCAAAACCAATAACATTGCGGATTCTTCTTTTGTATTTTATCAAGAATCTCTAAATATAGATCAGCAGCAACAGATCAGATCAGATGAAGATTCTATTGAGTTATTTGATGAAAGTTAAATGGTGCGTTCAACAAATATGTTCTTATTATTATCAGAGAAATATATCCCAAGCGAGCAGATGATTTCATAGACAACGTTAGTTTTTTTTTGTTTTTGTTTTTTTGTACGTTTGTCGTTGGTGATGATCATGTCGGAGGTTTTTAGGTTTTTGTAATAAATTATGAATTTGTTGTAGCATACCTACGAACGATAATGGGTCCCCATTTATATAAATACAGTAGTAAATACTGTATGTTGGTCTGCAGTTGGAGATTCGTCTCCGACTGTGCTGGTCAAACTCTCTGCATACGGGCAGAGAGGATCCCCAGACAAGACTATGCCGAGAGGCAGAGTCTCCACTCGGGAAACAGCTACTCGGCCCCGTTTTATACGGGGTCTAAGGGGAATTTTTGGCCGAGCCAATGGGCTCGGATACCCCACATTAAATTCAGCCTTGTGCCGCATTCGACTCCCTTGTATCTGTGTGGGTTTGGGTTTGAGTTTGTTTCGTTTTACGACGTATCTCACCTCAATTGGTTATTTAATACCGACAAGATTTTTAAAATAGATTTGTTTGTTTAGCTTGTGTCAACTCCTTATGGCTCATTTAATGCCAAAATTGAACTTTGAGAGCATTAATAATTACTTTTTCAAAAACGTATTGCTGGTACTTTTACTATAAAAATCTATTTTTATACTTTCATAGTGTTTTGACCCCAGGTTGAAAGTTAACTATTTTCCACGGCTGCGACCGTAACAGGTGCTACCACCCATGGTCAAGTTGGAGCTAGGAACATCAGCAATTAAGAGATGGTTCCAAGCTCCTCAAAACCTCCTGATCAGAGGCCTTGCTGCTGGACTTAGTTTATATTGTCTTACCCAGGACGCGGATGTAGTTTCTCGTCATAACCAGGACGTTGTATTTTTGTGGATATTCACTGTTGTAGCGAAGTCGGTGTGGGTTTTGTTTTATAGAGGGAACTTCTAAAAGGTTCGCTATTCAGGTAAAATCTTCTTATTCTTCTATATGCCGTGTCCCTTCAGGATCCCTCGTGTCCCTCAGTAACGTTTCTCCTTTTGCCAATCGTTCGCGTCGTTCCCGTTCCTCCATCAACTCACACAAGCTCGTCAGGTCAGCGGCTAGCTGCCTTCCCCTATTTATCTTGCTCTGTGAAGTGTCCGTTAAATTAAGAAATTAAGTAACTGATGTCGACATCAATCAAGTACAGAATTTTAAATATCTGAGAAGTGTTTTAACAGAGGATGGAAAATACGACACCGAAATTTCACTGTGCAAGGGGCTACAGAGAATGAGAGCAAGGGTAAAGAGGTTTGTTTGAGGAAAGGATATAGAGAAGGGCGTGGATCAGGATCAAGGCATCAGAAGATGTCGATTGACATTATATTCGAATATTTGAAGAATATAGCTATCAGCGAAGCAAGTAAGGGCAAGAGAAGAAGCTCTTGCAGTAGAAAAGGTGGTTATATTTAACTGTTTCGACAGTAAGAGGGTGGAACCGAGATGCCAACCTAGTAGCACGCTTAAATTCATGCAGTTGGGGTCACCAGTGAAAGTAGCTCGTCAGAGCAGTTGTCATGAAAGTATTTGTAGAAAAGACAGGGAATAGCGAAAGACACTTTCCAAAGGCTAAGCAAAGTACTAAGAAACAGAAAAATATTGTTTCTTAGTAATTTGTTAAGGATGCTTGAATTCATCGGAAAAACAGAATCTATTTAAACAAATATTTTTACTTTTCCACTGTGCGTAAACTTATAATACATTGCTTCGTATGACACAGATATTTTTACTTTTCCACTGTAATACTTTGTAATACTTTGCTTCGTATGACACAGATATTTTATAAGGTAGCTTAAGATTAACTATGGCTTACGCGTTCACGAATGGTTAAATCTTTCGAGCTGACGTGTTGAGAACAACGTGAAGCAACTGAATGGCCATCATGACCACTAAACTGAACACCAGACATTTTTTTTCTTGTGAGGTGTACTAAAAAATCTTGGTTAAACTTTAAAAGTGAAAACAATTCCTGAATTAAAATAAGAAATTTCTGGTGTATTTTCTGAAATTATTGAATAAATCTGACAGTTGTAGAAATGTTACTGATAAGGTTCAGCGTTGTATTAAACATGAAGGGGAGCATTATGCTCAATAATTTTGTTAACCATAACAAATCATGTTCTTTTGATGTGACAATACTTATTATTTTCCTTAACCTACTACAATTTGTTTTGTTCAATAAAATCTAATAAATAAAAAGGCGTTATTTTTGCCACGCCCTGTTTATCCCATCGTAAATTAACTTTCATGTTTTAATACGGTCGTTGATTTGGGATATTCCGTATAACATATATATGAGTGACAGTTGACGTATCTTGGACCATTTATTTCAGAATTATTTTCATATCATTTATGTACATATAATGCTTGAATGCTTGTCTAGCTAGAAAAACTACGACTGAGTAGTAAGTTCGATCCTCACTGGGTGCCCCATTCTTTCGGCCTTCTGCCATATTTAAGCTACGCTTGGAAAATCACTATAATTCTTGAAGGCAGTTTCTTTTTTTTCAATGGTGGTCACCCCGTACAAAGCCTGAGAGCCACTCGAAGTAGAGTGATATAGAAGAAGAGGTACAGTTTATGTGGATATGTAGGGAAGATAACGGTTAACTTTAGACTTTAACAGGTTAATGTTGTAGTGATCGGAAAAGCTCCCAGTTGATTCGTGAGATGCTGCTGCTCGAGTGGAACTTACGTCTAACCAAATGGAATTGAGAATGAGAGTGGTTCGCTACAATGTCTTCAGTATGATGGACCTTAGCCGTGAAGGCTAGAATTGGTAGAACTGAGGAATGTAGTTGGAAAGAGCGATAGAGTAGCGAGGGGCTTGCGATATTTCGTCTGTGAGAAAGCGGTTGTAGGGCGGGAAATAATTTGTCAATCTCGAGAACCCGGAGACGCTTTTAAACTCTATCGACACCGAAAAGTAAAGAGCGGGCAGCTCATGACCCTATATGGCAACAATACTCCATTTTTGAACTAACCTAACAAGTGTCTACATATTGTAAAATCAACCGACCTATTATTTAGTATAAAGATATAAGAATTGTTTAAAATATTCATGCCGATGGAAAATTTTAGCTGATAAAATAATCGCGCTTGTTCAAATGAATATTCCGCCTGGGAGTTTTGATATCTTGAAATAATTTTGATATCTTGAAATAATTTTAATATCTTTGAAATAATTTTCTCCGTTCCGCGGAGAAAATTATTTCAAAGGCGTCCCTTACAAAGCATTGTGCCGGGATGGAAGGAAGTGTATAGAAATAATTTAAACGTGTCGATGCTTGTATTCATTACACAAGAGAAACCCAATCGATCATCCCTACAGCACCGGTGAAGGTACCTCCACCGGTGAAGGTACCTCCACCGGTGCTGTAAGGACAGATATTTGGATTTTTGTGTCCACAAGCATACTAACTAACAAGGAACCTCCAACTGTAAAAAAAAAAATATATATATATATATAAAGACGTTATATCACTTACCTTTAGGTCTTCAGGCAGGAACTGGAAAGTCTCTCTGTTTAGGTTTCCAACGTCCAGGGCCACACCTTTGCTCATATATACAGGCTTTCCTGTATCTCTCCCGGATTCGTATAGGGCCAAAGTTTTCTTGGCACGTGCGATAACATCATTCAGATATTCAAAGCCTTGCGCTGCAAAAAAGACAGGAAATAAGCCATTGTTATTTAAGTAATCGTTCCGACTATTGTAAGAAGAGTTTTCTTCAGTCTCTTTGTCATCTACGTGGTGTGTTCCTATTGGACGAAGGCAATAAGGACTCGTAGTAATTTCCTGTCCTTTGTACCTCTGACTAAGGCTTGCATTTTTGTTATATCTTTTAAATAATGTTCTACCAAATATTTACAAAAGCTTTTTGGGTAGGTTATGCTTTGTTTTACTCTGCCCCTCTTGCCTTCAATTTTGAGTATCAGATTTTCCAAGCCCTCTTTTCTCATTATGGACCCTCGAAATTTATGATAGCTCTTTCTGATTCTAAGTAGAAGTGTCCTTTTTGTTTGCATTTTCTTCTTTATTCCCATATTTAGTCCATTGTAATCCCAGCAGCATTCCGTAGAATTATATCTCTGTTACCTGGAGTCTCTTATTCATCTGCGATGAGATTATTCAGCATTCCCATATTACACAACTCAACTGTGTTCAATTTCATTTGGTTTGGTTTGGTTTACGAAATATCAACCTAAATGGGTTATTTAATACCGACAAGACTTTTATTGCTACTAATATTTTTTTTTTCAAAAATATATTGTTCGTAATATTTTTCCATAAAAGTATTGCTGGTAATATTTTTTTCAAAAATGTATTGCTGCTAATAATATTTTCCTCAAAAATTCATTGTTAGGGGGGGGTAAACTATTTACGCAAGGCTGGGACCCTAGAGGCGCTACCACCCTGGGTCAGGGTGGACCTGGAAACACCAGGAATTAAGAGGTGGTTCCACGTTCCTCAAAAGCTCCTGATCAGAGGCCTTGCTGTTGGATGTAGTTTATCGTCTTACCCAGGACGCGGATGTAGTTTGTCGTCTTACCCAGGACGTGGATATAGTTTATCGCCTTACTCGGGACGTGGTTGTAGTTTATCGTCTTACCCAGGACGTGGATGTAGTTTATCGTCTTACTCGGGACGTGGATGTGGTTTATCGTCTTACCCAGGACGTGGATGTAGTTTATAGTCTTACCCGGGACGTGGATATAGTTTATCGTCTCGCCCAGGATGCCTCATTTGGTGGGGTGGGTGGGTTTTATCTCTCTGTAGAGGTGCAGTCGGCGTATTCTGAAGCCCCAGCCGACGGGACGGAACTGTTCAGTAGTCTGTTATGAAATAACGGTCATTCCTTAGTCTGTTATGAAATAACGGTCATTCCTTAGTCTGTTATGAAATAACGGTCATTCCTTAGTCTGTTTTGTAACCTGTTATTTCGGTGGACGAAATAATGGGTACGGTTCGGAATTCCAATCACCTGAAGAAGGCCGGAGCGTACAATGGCTGAAACGTTGTGAATATGACAATGAAGATGAGGATAACAGAGTAATGTAAATAATGCAAGTAATAATTATTTGCGTTATAAACTTTTAGTTTTAACTAAAAGTAAAGTTCATTTTCAAGAAAATATTTTAATTTGTTCTTTTTAATGGATTAATTCATTTTCTACGGTTTATCAACTCTTTGCAGGTTATTTAAAGCCAGAAAATATTTTTACATCGTAATAATTTTTTGTAGATGATAATGTTTCAGCGATATAAATCTTAATAATTAACCCGTAGCTAGGGGGAGAAAAGGCTAATTCATATCTTTCCTCAGGGCGTAAGTGAATGCAACAAAATCACAGGGAAATGGAATACAGCTCGCCACTTTAAACTTGGAAAAGATGATTTGTTAGGTTATTTAATGCCATCTTTTCGGGGGGGGATGCACGCAGTGTGGATCAAATTCACTATTTAGTGATAATGGGCAAGAAAACTAACCATTATTTAACACTGAGGGTCCGTAAATTTACTGAAGCAATAAAAAGATTCCAGAGGTAATAAACATTAGACATATACAATGCGTTACACGTAAATTTCAATGTTACTGCCATCCATTTTGATTCGTTTAATCAGCACACAGTTTATTGATATGCATACATTCTAACAAAATACAACGTCTATCGCGGCAGTTCTTCAATGGTTTCACCTCTTAATCCATATTTCATGTTCTAATGAAGAAAACTAAAGTTAATTCAAGTGATCTCGCCGGCCATTTGCTATACGTTCACGGATTTAGGGTTGATCGTTGAGAAGTTTGTAAAAAGATGAGTTCAAAAAGGCAAATTACAATTCGGAGATGTCTAAATCAATATCAGCACAAAACTTTACATATCTAGGAAGTGTTTTAACAAAGGACGGAAAGGTCAGACAGTTATGTGCCATGCGTGATACACGCTTAAGCGATCATGTATCTTTCGATACATGACTGGAGGCAGATTTTTCCCGCAGTAGGTTGCCATTTCTTTCTGCGGTAGACCAGTTGCCATCCACAAAACTCGGACTGTCCTGCTATTTACCCATAGCTGAGCGGGGGGAGAAGAAAATTCATAGCTTTCCCAAGGGTATAAACACGTAAGTGAATGTAATGGATTCGATTGGAATTCGAACTCTACTCTCCTCAATCCGAGCCGCTATCCATTATACCACCGTCTCTCCTAGGAAAGGGCGAAGCTGAAATCCTAAGGCACATTGGGATGACGAAAGATGATTTTTAAAAGCTTAGCAGGGGATTAAGAAACGAAAAAATTCATTAGAAATAAAGAAAATAATACTGAATGATTACGTGAATGCTTGACAATCTCCTCAAAGCTGAAGAAGTGACTTGAAGCAACAGAAATATTTTTCTTCAAAAGGATGCTGAGTATACCATGGACTGAACACGTGTGCAACAAGGAGGTTTTGGAGAATATCGGAACAAAAACCAAACTTATAATTAACATCAGAAATAGACAGTTGGAATTTCTATAATTCATAATTTTCATTTTCCCATAATAAGGAAAGAACGCTTGGAAAACGTGATCCACACAGTACAAATTGAAAGCAAGATGAATAGATAAAAACAACGTATAATATGCATAATGAACTTGAATAAATGGATGGCGAAAGAGGGTTTAGGAAAAATTTCAAAAAGACAAAATAAATTTAGAGCTACGAAGGCTAGGAATTTGTGGAGAGCCATGATCGCCTACGTCGTAAATGGACACGGCACTTAAAAAAGAAGCTCTGCTACCAATCGATCCTTTCTTTTACACCACCCTGTACGTTTGTTCAGTAAAGTTAACGTCGAAATTAACGATATCAGCTGTAAATAATTAGAATGGTGGCTTACGAAACTATCTGTGGCACTTTGATAGACATTACACCTAATTTAGGACGAGTACTGCCATTTCTAATTATACCAATAAGACCTTGTACTTGTTAGTGCGGGTATTTCAGCCCACCGCATGCATGGTAACATGGTTCTGGTTAGAAATAATGCAAACTAAAGCAGAAGACTTGCCAAGGTTTCGATACATAACAGACTTTCGCTTCACCATTCCTTGTCACCCTTATATTACTTACTCTTCTATATTTTGGGGGAAATGTTTTCTCGACAGAACACTAAATAAACATTTTAAGTACATGAAGTGTTGGTATTTATTTATCACGTGTCTTCCAGACAGGATATCCGCTGTCAAACGAACCAATCAATGTCGTTGTGTTTTATTTTTGTTTGTATCTGACTGACACGCCACTAATCCCCCCACACACCTAATATATCAAACTAAATAATTTTATTTTTTCTGACGACGAGGGTTCATCGTCGAAATACGATATATATATATATATATATATATATATATATATATATATATGTGTGTGTGTGCGCGTGTATATATATATATATATATATATATATATATATATATATATATATATATATATATATATATAGGGTGTATCAAAAATACTTTGTAGATTAAATTGTAGGGTGCCCTCACACCAGAACAAAGACAAAAGTCTATATAAATATTTGACCATTTTTGAGTTATTAAGGTTAAAGAAAGTTTATGGTACATGACGCTGTGTTGCCCTGTAGACTTAATACATAGTTTGTGGTGCCGCGGATCCTGTCGCAGCAATGTCATGATAAACAGCAGCAAAGGTTAGATGACTCGACTGCCTTCGGTCTGGAAATGCAATTTGATACAGGCGTGCAACCTCACGCCCATTACCATTCGCGCGGAAGTATGTAAAAACCATGTCTGCCTGCTCACGATATGAATATCCTGCCATTGCTAACTTCTCCGTTAACTCACTACTACACATGTTAAACGCTCAAGAAAATGTACACGAATGACAAATGTAACCTAGTCTACATCGCACCACAGCGCCATCTACTGTAAACTGTCTTTAAACATAATGACTCAAAAACGAAAGATTAGTGGACATATATTTATATGCACTTTTGCTGTGAGAAACCCGCCCCTAAAGTTTGTAAAAGTATTTTAATACACATTATATATATATATATATATATATATATATATATATATGTTGCGGTAAACCCTCCTACAGTAGAAATAACTATTCCTCCTCTCATAAATACTAACTGCGAGCCTTCCTAGTAAGTGTTGTAGGGCAGTCGGTTGGGAAACGGAAGCACAGTGTTAATCTACCGTTCGGACGTACAAGTGCATCTGCTTATTACTAACACTCTTGCTTTGTATATATCTGTTATTTCAGTACACTTGTTCAACCTACCTTCGTATTCCGTGTCTTTCTTTCTGGCCTCTAAACAGGCTACAAACAAACAAATATATATATATATATATATATATATATATATATATATATATATATAGTAACTGGTCGTTCAATGCCTTTTTATATAGGGTGGCTAGATAATCCTTGTTGCAGAGCCCTAATCAGGCATATTTCTTTTTGTTTTACACATCACAGAGGCAGCCTGTGGTTTATACTGAAACGATAGTTACAGTTACTAGGAGAGCACGTAGTATCTGGTGGGATTAACAAGTTGAACAATGCCAGTATACTCAAAACCTTGTTCACAATGACTTGCCACTTCATGCCGGGAAACCATACCACGAATTGACCCCAATCTTAGG